CTCACTATGTAGCCCAGGCTGGTCTCAACTCACAGTGATCCTCCTGTCTCAGCCTCCCGAGTGCTGGGATTACAGGCATGCACCACCACGCCTGGCTATGAAAATTACTTTTCTAATTGGCTGTGGTGTTGTCATCAAACCTTTTGTTTCCCCTTTTATCCTCCAGATTGTTAATCCACCCAAGGATTTGAAGAAACCACGTGGAAAGAAATGCTTCTTTGTGAAGTTTTTTGGAACAGAAGATCAGTAAGTAGTATTCACCCAGAGTGCCTTTGGGCATTTACCTGAGTCTGAGACACTGTGAGAATATTCTAAGGATTCTTAGTTTGGGCTTCTTGTAGTGTGTAAAAATGCTATATCATTCTAGCTTTGTACCTAAATTAATGGTACTATACGCATCTCACAGAAGTTGTGCTGGGGCCAGTAACAGTACCAGTGCCATGTAAGAGCTAGGGTTCATTATCTACATATGATAGTCACATGGAAATTGTTTTTCTGCCTCTTTCTTTATTGACACTGTCAGCAGTTCTTTTATAAAAGCCATGTTTGCTTCCCTTTCAGTAGTTATACGTTACTGATCATGAGGTCTACAGTAAAAGCAAATTTTATTTTTATTTATTTTTAAAGTTTTTTTCATTTATTTTTGCAGTACTAGAGGTTGAATACAGGCCTTCACAATGAACTGCATCACCAGTTTTTTTTTTTTTTTTTTTTTTTTCCTCTTTTTTTCTTTTTTGATACAGGGTCTCACTAAATTGCCCAAGTTAGCCTGGACCTTGCTATCCTCCTGCCTTGCCCTCTCAAATACCTGGGATTACAGGCATAAACCACCACAACTGGACCATTTGTCTTAATAAAAGTAATCCCATTCTCTTTTGTAAAACTAGGTGAAGTGCTCTAATGTTAAAATAGTATACATTATAAGCATTATTATCAGATGTGTGCTAAAGTTGAAGGATCCAGGACCATTATTAATTTAGGATTTTCTCTTGGTACTGGGGATTGAACTCAGGACCTTGTGCTTGTGAGGCAGCGATAGTGCCGCTGAGCTAAATCCCCAGCCCTCTACTGATTTGTTCAATTTTCTTGTCACTCCATCAAATTAATTATCTGGATCTAGATAAATAGCTTGATTTCTTAAAGTATTTATGATTCCTATAGGAAAATGGAATTTCGGGTTTAAAGAAAAAGTCTGAAAGCTGGGCGTGGTGGTGCACACCTGTAATCCCAGCACTCAGGAGGCTGAGGCAGGAGGATTGGTGTGAGTTTGAGACCAGCCTGAGCTATATAGTGAGTTCCAGGTCAGTCTCAACTACATAGTCAGACCCTGTCTCAAATCTGACACCTTTCTGGTAATTTAGCATTGGTAGTTAAAATATTCATTACCAGAAAACAATATAAAATATTATATATTAAAATCTCTTCTAAACCATTACTCATTCAGAAGTTTGTACACCAAAGTGCTCTTCCTGGTTCTCACATTTGCACAGTGGATTGACCTTCCCAATAAGATATACCTCACCCACAATTCCCCATACAAACCAATTTACCACCCTTATGGTGACAGTATTTCAAAGATGTTACTAGCCGTGAGTTGTGTGAATTCCAGAGGTTGAGAACCTTTGGAAGAGGGAATGTTGTCCTAATGTCATGGACTCCACAAGGAAGATTATCCTGATGAACAAATGAGGGCCAGGGATTTAGCTCAGTGGTTCCACTGCCTGCCTCACAAGTGCAAGGACCCCAATTTGATCCCTGGTACCAAAAAAGAAAAAGTGAGCATGTGCACACTCCACACTGCTTCTCAGTGAAGGAATTCCTAGGAAACTGAATGTTGAAGTCCCCACCTTCTTAGTGCTGAGTTAGATGACAAGGCTTAAGTAGTTCATATGGGATTCTGTGCAGAATGAGTGGTACAAGTAATTACAAAAGGATTCTGGAAGAGAGAGAAGTCAGTGGAGAACAGTGAAGTCCAGGAAGACTGACGAATGAATTCACTTCTAAGATGAATACAAATTGGATGGGTAGGAATGATGGCAGTCCTGGTCATGGGGATACTATTAAGGTGGGGGATATGATAAGGAAGAGGTTCCCTACCTGGGGTAACTGGTGCTTGGGAATATGGTTGGACAAACTTGTTTGGCTAAATGAAGAATTACACAAAACTAGGAACTCAGCCAAGCTATATGAGACCTGAATGATATTTATTGTTTTTAAATGCTTAAAGGATAAGCTGGTTGTGATGGTGAAGGCCTGTAATCTAGTACTTAGGAGACTGAGGCAGGAAGATCACTATGAGTTTGAAGCCATCCTCGTTACATAGTTCAAGGACAGCCTGAACTATATATATAGTGAGACCCTGTCTCAATTTAAAAAAAACAAAGAACTTAAATGATAAATTAATAAATTAATCCTCATGTATAAAAATAAGTACGACACAAAAAATTGAGAGCTGAGGGAATTTGAAAGCTTAGGCAGGCAAATAGTGCAACAAATGATAAAGGAGGGAGATATGCATTGAACAGAAACATAACCTGCTGGTAGGGACGGTAGTTGTGATGTGATTTCTAAATGACTAAAGCTCTTTTGGATGGGCCTATAAGCAAGTCGATGTGGGGCAACTGCTAGGCATGACTTTAGGCCTTTGAAACTCCTTTTATC